GGTATTGTTTATCAATCTATATTACGTTGGCTTCTTACGATTCAAGCAACACGTCTTGGAGAGAAAAAAAAGGAGTTGTTCGATTAGACCTCCTCGTGCATCGCAGCGAGGGTCCCCCCATAATTTACTATCTGCATTGAAGTCTCCGAGGACCAGATAAAGTTCTGATATCTCATCTATTGAGTGGAATTCATGTTTTTCAAGGTGCTAGTGGGGGGTATGTACAGAGTGCAGATGATGACGAGTTCATTCAATACAACTGCTCGTACAGCCACTTCCTCTAGGGATGTTAGTAGGAGTACATGAGTACATCCATGAGTACATCTACTCCTCGATTAACAATTATGGCTACACCGCCAGATGACACTACAGCATTATCTCTGTCATTTCGGAAGATGACATATTGACGCAAAAAAATTGTATTCTTGGATTTTAGTTGTGTTTGCTGTAGACACAGCACTTTTGGAGAATGCTTGTGTAGGAGTTCCAGGACATCGTTGAGTTGTCGAAGCAGTCCTCTGACGTTCCATTGTATGAATTAGGCCTACATATAGGGAGTGAAGAAGTGCTGTGTGCACGAAATGAGTGTGGCTGGTGTCTCAAAAAGAAAACTGACTGATTTCACAGGGCCTTTGGAAGGCCCTGTAATTACTGTTTCGGCATTTCTTGGAGTGTCGAGAGGACCTCGCCTCTCCATTGGCGCAATCTGCGCCAGTGCACCGGAAGTGTCCATTGCCTCAGTAGAGGCGCCAGACAAGACTGTTTTCGGTGTAGGCTTCGTCGCGATCGACGGAGCCTTCGACTCCACCGGGCCGGAGGTCGAGGGGACCTCTGTAGCTTGTGTGGTACCCTGGCTGGGGCCAGGGTGGATAGGGGCCTTCGGTGGGGCTGTGTTGAGGGAGGGTGGCGCCGCCGAGTCTGCTGCCCCCATGGGGGCTTGTGGCGTTTGCCTTGGCACGCTAGGCGTGGTCCAAGGCATCGCCGAAAACCGCAGAGGTGCTGATCCCCCTCGCACCACTTCGGCATACGACGTGTTCCCGGCATAATGCGCGTAAACGCGCTGCCACGCTTCACGGAATCTTATGTTCAGTTTGAACTTTGTGGTTATTATTTCTTTTTTTCCTTTTCCAGGCCACACATGACCTGGAATATGCGGGATGATCACCCACACAGTTTGCGCAGTGGACTTCTGAATTACAATCACCGTCAGAGGAATGGCCTTCGCTGCTGTATCTCGCGCAGGTGGGCTGCCCTCGACTGTTCTGGGAGCCATGGCCGAACCACTGGCACTTGAAACAGCACCGCGGGTGTGGGATGCATGGTCTCACTGGCAGTTTGAGATAACCTGATTTTATTAAATGCGAAGCATTTCTTAGTGAATTTCGGCGACATTGAGCGTATCTGTATATCAAGCCGCCTACGACTTTCAGCTCTCCTGGCCGTTCCGGTAATTGTATCGATACCAAACTTGCTATGGAATAACATGACTATATGAAGAACACATTTCACTAGTCAGAACATGAAAATCGTGATATGTATGTCATAAATGTTCTGATTTAAATTTCGCGATCCTGCAGCTCTTGTGGTGGTTTTGTTCATATGGAATGTTGCGAAACTGGTATGGTATGACATGATTGCATGGCGAACACAAGCGACAGACCCTAACATGAAAATCAAGACATGCGTGTTATTTAACAACATGACTACTTGCCACGCTCATGATGCTCGCGGCCGTTTCACTAGCTTCACATGTACCAAATTCGGTATTGCGCGATGCGAATGGACGACATAAGTAAATGACACATCCAAACATGATATAAATGACATGTAACAACATTACTACATGCCACATTGATGATGTGCTCGCAGCCGTTTCGCTAGCTTCACATGTGCCAAATTTGGTATTACGCAACGTCAATGGATGACGAAGGCATGTGACTGGTGCAAACATGATAATCATGAGGTGAGTGTCATGCGAGAACATATATACAAGCCACAGTCAAGGCGCCAATACATTTCGACGTGACGCGGTGTGCGGGCTCACCAGCGTTCATTTCGTCGCGTCACGCCGGTGTTGCCACGCAAGGTGCCGGTCGCGCGCTGCGCTTCGTTGCTTTAACACATACCCGCTTTAGCGCGTCCGGCGTCCCTTCGTGACGAAAAGAGGGAGACCCAGTGTAGTCTGGGAAACGCATCGGCGCGAAATGCAGCATGTCGCATTTCTTGCAGGTTGCCGTCGGGCCACGCCGACGGACGCTGGTCGCTCCTGGCGTCAGACTATAGAGTGCTCGCGTTTTGCTAACGCAGCGTCGCTGTGTCCAGCATGCGGGCGCGTCAACGTTACGTTGGCGTATATTCGGCCCTTCATGATGCGCTCGCGCCCATTTTCATAGCTCAACATATACCAAATTGGTGTTACGTGACGTCAATGGATGACGAAACAAATGACTGGTGCAAACATGATAATTCTGACATGCGTGTAATGTGAGAACATAACAACATACCCCGCTCATAGTGTGCGCGCGGACGTTTCGCTAGCTCCACGTATACTAAGTTGGGTATCACGTTACGTGAATAGGTGAAAAAGGTCAATGATACATCCAAGTATGGTAATCATTACACGGAAGTCATGTACGGCATCATTTACCTCCACCACGTAATGTTGCGCTGATTTTAAAGTGACATATCAACCTTTCTCATTCGTGCTTCGCATATCATCGATTCCCACTGTGCGTGGGATCTCCCATTTTTTCTGTAGGGTGTGTGGCGGATCCGAAGGTAGGTATGAGGTGTTTGGTGGGAGGTATTTTTTTGTCTCTTCGTATGATTATGGGTTGCCCCTTGATGACATTCTCGTCCTTCCGGCCTATCAATAGTTCTTCATCGGAGAGATCCATCAGATCGCCATCTGACACGAGTCCTTTCGCAGTGTTCAAAGTACGATGTGGTGTGATACTTATGGACGGAATTCTTTTAGGTTATGCGTTCTCTCGTCTTTGAAGCGGTCTTTTAGTTCTAGCAGCAGATCTCCACTAGCAGTCCTGATCGCTTTCTACCCGGCGCCTAGGGTTTAAACAAGACACTTGACACTATAAAATGTGAAATAATTCTGGCCTTCTTTTTGTTGCTTTTGCTGTTAATTATGTGATATCTTAGAAATTTTACTTTGTCGGCAGCAATTCAAAAAGGACATTGGTGCGCCAACTGTTTGAGGGACGATCAGTTTGGTGAGAGCCAAGGGATCCTATCAAGATGTGTAATTTGTTCGGCAGACATGCCAGCTACCCACCTTCGAGCCCAACAAGGGCACGCCGTGAGACTCGAAGTAAACACGAACGCCAGCTGTAAATTCCCACTATAACCAAATATAGGATAACCTAGGTAGGTTACGCAACACAAGGCTAACCCTTGCCGCCAGGAAAAAGGTGAAGTAAGTGAAAGATGGAGAGGACGGGAAAGAATAAAAGTGAGAGAAAGGCGAAGATTTGAGAGTATAGGGAGACAAGAAAAGGCGACTTCCAATTTCCCCTGAGTGGGTCAGCCCAGTGGTGCCGTCTACGTGAAGCAGGGGCCAAAGGGGTGTGTTGCCTCTGCCGGGACGCCTTAAAAGTTCCATCTCCAGGCGTCAGCTCAACCCCCAGGATCCCTTTTTCCCCGGACACGGCTCAGCCACGCACGGCTAGGCGTGGGATAGGTTGAAACCCCCCGTTGGCTCGGGTCAATGGTGTTGCTACACACCAAACGCCTGTTTGCGCAGACACCCCTGCGGGGATGAAGAGTCAATTAAAGATAAAAAGAGAAAAACTTTAAAATATAAAAAACAAAGAAAGATAAGGTAAGGGAGAGAGACAGATATAAAGAAACAGATACAAAAAATGTATAAAAAAACAAAGATCAACACAGAAGTAAAGACATAGAAGAAAAGAATATTAAGAAAAGAGAAAAAAGGAGAAGCAGAGAGAGATTGAAAGGGTATATATACATAAGAATACGAATTGAAAAAGCAAAAAAAAAGATTTAGATGAAGAAAGAGAGAGAAACAGGAACAGGCACACAAAAATATTTACAAAAAACCGAGAAATAGAAGGGAAGATTGAAAAAAATCAGTGAATGTTATTCTGGAGGCGCTGTGTTAGAGTGCCTCGAGTGTGCAGCAGAAGTGAACGAGTGCATCAAGTCACGTCACACGTGAGACATGGGCGCTATCTGGCAGTTATCCTGGAAAACAGGGCACGAGCCGTGCGTGCCCGTCTCTGAGGTGATAACGTGTAGAACGCAAAGCGACGGGTAGGTGCCACCACCGTATTAGCAAAGCGTTTTAAACACTTGCCTTTTCGTGCAAGCGTTGCATGGCCAGCGCAGCTTTATGAAGGCTACGATCCTTAGTATTACCTATGCATACTTCTTAGTAAAAAATACACATACATAATATTGACGTGTTTTTATAGTGCCTCAGATATGCGTAATATTGATTTTTAATTGACAATCGCACAAGTATGAATGCTGAATCTTGAGCAACATTGGTGGGCGCTGCGGATGGTGTCGGCCATTTGGAATATTGTTTGGCCGCATTGGTGCCGTTTAGAGTACCAATAAAGCCAAACAAGCAGACAAGCAGGCAGACCAAAAGTTTTTCATCGAAGGTCCCCAAGAAAGGCTATCGTCTTCAAAAAAGGCCACCTTAGGACAAATAAAGAACGCCATATTACTGCGCTCTTCTTTCCGGATCGGCATCCTTTGTGCGAAGCAGCCTTAATACTTTCCTTTATTTACTTATTTTTTTGCGCTGTCGAACCGCACTGCCAATTCTTTCTACACGCACATTCGGTTCAATTTGGACACAGTACACGTGCTGAGTGCCCCTCTTGATTCTGAAGACTGCAGGATGTTTTCGCGTCAGGGGACTATATTTGAAACAGCTGCGTTGGCTTCCTGTCTGAAATTGGAATGGTTAATGACCGGCGGCAGAAAGATTCGACAGGTGACCTGCTAGAGTGACAGTCTAGGCTGGACAACAGGGTGCGGCTCAGCGCATATGCTTCGTTCGATGTGACAAGGCTGATCACTTCTCATACCCAAGCGACATCACAGTTTGCTTGTACCTGAGGGCGTGATGCAAAATCTGAAAGGAAAAGTGGCCATCATAACCGGTAAGTAAAAATGTTTTTTTATGATTTCCGATTCACTAAACTGTTCAATATTGATGCACAGGCATGAACGGGCATACTGTGTGCGAATAATATACCTTTCATAGGCTCCCAATATCAAGTACATAGGTAACAAACTTTATTAATCCAGCGATAAAGATACCTGCTCGGGCTGGCATATCAAGGGAAAACCGTATTAAAACGCCGGATGAATGCTCACGCCACACGGACTCAATTCGATATTTCTTATGCCCAGTGCAAGTAGGAACTGGAAGCCACCTTGACTCAATATTACAACAATGAAATCGCAATCAACATATTGTGACACGATAGACATTTGTGAGAGCTAACGACGAAAAACTCAAACTCGCGTTTATGTAAAAAAGTGATAAAAATAATATATATATATATATATATATATATATATATATATATATATATATATATATATATATATATATATATACTAAACAGGAAAAAAGGTTAATATATATATATATATATATATATATATATCGAGAGAGAGAGAGTTAGATAGATAGATAAATAGATAGATAGATAGATAGATAGATAGATAGATAGATAGATAGATAGATAGATAGATAGATAGATAGATAGATAGATAGATAGATAGATAGATAGATAGATAGATAGATAGATAGATAGATAGATAGATAGATAGATAGATAGATAGATATTCTGCATCAATCAAATTTGTTGACGTGGGAACGCTTTGACTGGAGCTCCACCCAGGTCGTCGCTTACTACGACCTGTAGACCGCTCCAGACAACGCTGGATCTTCGGGCGCCGCCGGCGAACTGACGCTTTCCGCCTTCGGTTCACTCAGAAACTGCGCTCACACTAATAAATGAATGCATTGCGAGCACAGCCACCGACTCTTCTTTATCAATTGGACGAAATATCATACGTCTTTCCTCGAGTCCATGGTCTTCGCCAGTTGTTTTGGTGCAAAAGAAAGACGGAACAGTACGTTTTTGTGTGGATTACTGGGCACTGAACAAAGTAACGCGCAAAGATGTCTACCCTCTCCCACGAATCGAAGATGCACTAGCTTCGTTGCATGGCTCTTACAAGCTGCCACTCTAGCGTCGCCAGCGCGAAGTCGGCCAAGGGGAATGACAGCATGTTAGTTCGTTCCGTACGCAAGCAGAGACAGTGACGAGATCAGAGACGTGAGAAAAAAAACAACCTTACTCTAGTGATAATGCAGCACACGGGAACTACTACAACACTTCAATACAACCAACAATATACATCAACACTTAATACAACAAAAATACATATAAAGAAACAATAAATCAGCTTACGAGACAGGACTATTACAAACTACACAAGCTAAAAACAATAGAACTACGGAGGAGAAAGCTCGAAGGTATAAACAGGTGAAGGCATACGTGTGATGACCGGCAGCGTTGCGTCCCCGACGATCGGATGCGAGAAGTCGAAGAGAGTTCTGGCACGACTGCGATGTCGGCGGTGATGCAACGCTGGTGGCTCCGGGAGGCTAGTGCTTGCAGGTGACTTCGAGCAGGTTGAGCTAACTCGAGGCGAAGTCCCGAGGTCTACGTTGCAGGCGTTAATATCGCGTCACAACTAGACGAACGGCTAAGTTTAGGTGGCCAGCCGATACAGAGCCACACTAAAAACTTCTAGAAGAGATGCTTGTTGATCTGTTTCTACACCATGTTGGTCAGCGACTAGTCTGCCTAAGGCCAAAATCCTGCGCTTAAATCCCCCTCGCGTCTCCTCGCTCTCTTCCTTGGGGACAAGAGACCTCTACATGGGTCCAATCTAGCGCGTTTCATTGATGGAAACTCCGCCCCAAAAATATATTGACCCCACCCCTTTTTAATTAGCAGAGAGCCCTCAACTAGCGAGAGTGACAACCTGTTGGGGTGTTGTCATATGGTTTGGCCACCAGAGGTTTTCTCACGGTTTTCCCCGTGAGAACGGTCAGACTGTTTGGGCTCTCAGCCGGTGCGTCCCGTAGTCTAATCCTTGTTCGGGGTACATCGCGGCCCTCCACGACCCTGTAGACGCCGCCGCAGTTACAAAAGGATCAAACGTCGGCGGCGACGTTCGAAGAAGAGCACCCCATTCTGTACTTCTCGGCTCTCTTTCATGCGCCCGCCGTTCCTACGGTCAGTGGGAGAGTACGACGTCCGTTAATCGCCGTGACGCGGGGTCGCCAAAAATGGCCGTCCGTGACATTGCCCCCCACTTGCAGAATGTTAATCATAACATTTGCTTCACACAGAGGGGAATTTTTCGACAACAAGGAACAAAACACCACCAACAAGGGAGACATGAGGACTGTCCCTCTCATACACAACATAAATAGGCAGAGTGCATCAAAGTAAGAACAAAAGGAAAAAAAACAATTGTTAGAATACCAGCTTCAGTTACACGCAACAATATCAATGCGCCATACAACAAGAAAAAGAAATAGCCGTGTACGGCAGCCATCAATACAGAATACACTGCACAAATGTATACTACGAAACAAAACAGAACAGGTGCGCTCCTCTACTGTAGTGAAATCCTTCACTGTGCATTACAACATGTAAAAACAATCAATGAACCTAAGCAAAAAGAAACTAACTCAAAATACACTTCTTGTACAATGAAATATGCACATACAAACAGAAATCCAATGACGAAAGGAAAAAAATAACATGTTCATAGACCTCAAGAACTATATCCGCCTCAAGTAATTGGCTCCCACGTTTTCGCTACCCTTAATATGCGTAATGGTGAACTGGTACTCTTGGAGTAGTAAACTCCAACGAAGTACTCGAGCGTTCAGCTGTTTCGCCTGTTGGATATAACTCAGAGGCTCGGTGGTCTGTCTGGACACAAAAATGTACTCCATATAAGTCCATCGAGATATCTGAATTCCCCAGTACCAACGCAAGACACTTCGCGTTCGAAGGTTTTATAGGAAGCCTCCCGTGGAAGCAGCTTTCGGCTGGCATAAGCTGTGGGCTGGAGCTTGCCTTCGTGGGCCTGCATGAGCATGGCTCCGAGACTTGTGTCCGATGCGTCCGTTCGAAGAACGAATGGTTGGTGCAAATTAGGTAGCCGTAGTATCGGCTCCGTAGAGACATATTGTTTGAGACTTCGAAAAGCCTCCTCGTGGGCTGCTGTCCCTCTCCTCGAACCTTTTCAGTAAGTTGGCGTGGAAGATTTTTCTGCCGCCAGCCGTGTCTATGACGTAGTCACCTTCCCCTTTCTTTTCCCGGACTTCAAAAGGGCCCTTCCATTGCAGCAGCAGCTTGTTCGTGTCGGTGGGAAGTGAAATCAGTACCTTGTCTCCCGGGTTGAAACTCCGCTTCCTTCTCCTTTCGATTGTACAGCTTCGTGTACCGTGCTCCGGCTTTTTCCAACTCCTCGTGTGCCAGGCGGCAAGTTTCCTCCAAACGGTTCCGAAGCTCGAAGACATGCTGGTACGTCGTCTTAGCTTCTTCAGTCAAGTCGGCGTTCGTCCACAGCTCCTTCGGTATCGCCAAAGGTCCCCTCACATGGCGGCCGTAGAGAAGCTCGAAGGGTGAAAACCCCATACTGGCCTGCGGAACCTCCCTCTAGGCCTTTCCTTATTAAACTTGTCTCGGAACCCATCCGCCGTGAAGTGAAAGCGCTTCAGGAGGGCAGTTTTAACCTTGGTGTAGTCCACTGCATCTGGAGGTGGTAGCCTGCATAAACACTTGGCGCCTCTCTGTAAGACATGTCGAACACGTCCGTCGCCCATTGGCTTTCCAGCCACTTTTGCCCTCTGGCGATGCTCTCAAACCGGCGTATAAACGCATCTAAGTCGTCCCTTCCTTCATCAAAGATGACGAGCAGTCTACCTGTGTGTATTCTCAAACTCGGCTCCCCCCGGCATCGCCGTGCTCACTGCTGGATTGCCTCACCCTGCTACTCTCACTGAGGCGAATCTTTAATTGCAGTAACTGCATTTCCCGTTCTCCGGCTTCCCTTGCCGCTTCCCTTGCCGCTTCTCGTTCTTTCTCCCTTTCTTCGCGCTCTCTCTCATTTTCTTCGTGCTCTCTCTCCTTTTCTACGCCTTCTCTTTCCCTTTTTTTTCCTTTTCCTCCCAGGCCAGTGCCCGCTCTTCCCTCGCTAACGCCTGCGCCTGTTCCTGCTGCTCCTTAACCCGTTGTCTCAGTTCGGCGCCCTCGAGGCCTAACTGCTTACCATGCGCGATACACTTATCAAACTCCATACACTCCATACTGCAAACTGTCACTATAATGCCACTATAAAACCAGCGCAATCTTATGCAGGATGCAACCACTTCAACTGTGCGGCTCTATCACCACGCTGTCCGCACGGTTCTCGTTCACCCCTCACTGTCTTACTCTTGTACGGAACGTCCTTTTCGCGGACGCCAGTTTTGTTACAAGCTCCCACTCTAGCGTCGCCAGCGCGAAGTCGGCGACGGGAATGACAGCATGTTAGTTTGTTCCGTACGCAAGCAGAGACAGTGACGAGATCAGAGACGTGAGAAAGCACAACAAACTTTACTCTAGTGATAGTGCTGCACACGAGATCTAGTACAACCCTTCAATACAACTAACAAAATACATCAAGACTTGATACAACAAAAATACAGATAAAGAAACAATAAATCAGCTAACTAGAGAGAACTATTACAAACTACACAAACTAACAATAATAGAACTTCAGAGGAGAAAGTTTGAAGATATAAACAGGTGAAGGCATACGTGTGATGACCGGCAGCTAGCGTCCCCGACGATCGGATGCGAGAAGTCGAAGACAGTTCTGGCACGACTGCGATGTCGGCGGTGTTGCAACGCTGCTGACTCCGGGTGGCTACTGCTTGCAGGTGACTTCGAGCAGGTTGAGCTAATTCGAGGCGAAGTCCCGATGTCTACGTTGCAGGCGTTAATATCGCGTCACAACTAGACGAACGGCTAAGTTTAGGTAGCCAGCCGATAGAAAGCCACACTAGAAACTTCTA